TTAACCCTTTAAGTGTTTTTGTCGAATATATTCGACATTTAAAATTACTCTCTTTCATTACTATTGATGTTTTTGTTTTTGCTGAAAAACAAAAACTCTGCGCCTTTATATGATCTTAAAAAAAATTTAGATTTTTATTCCGACAATTTTTTTTACACTGAAAGGGTTAAGTTGGCATTATTTAATGTAAAAGAATAAAGAAATCCCGCGTCCGAACTTCAATCTGACTCTGATATTCCCTTATTCTAATATTTTGTATTCTCATTCAAAATTTGTTGTATTCCTTATGATTTGTTTTTATTTTTTACTAGCAGGACCCGTGGCGCTTCGCTGCCTCTGAATTTTGATTTTTAATTTCTTGTATTAACAATACAGAAATGTGTGAAATATCTATGCGTTCTCTTGTCTTCCTATTGGTAACTGACGATATTTGTATAGAAGTTATTGAATTTTTCGCTGTTTTCTGTATTGGTGGTAATTCTTATTTTCGAGTCGATCTATAGACCACAAATGAAAGCCGAAGGAATCTGGAATCTGGACAATAGCTGTACTGAATACTCGAAATATTCGGAAAATATGTCACTGTGAGGTGCTGTTTACCTCTAATCGGGCAAGAGGGGGAAAATATCACGAAATTTTGCCCAGTCTCGGAATAAACATCCGGTCACTGGTTCTTCATAAATTGTTAGAGTATGTTAGGGTCTTCACTTCAAATACTATTTTCAATGAACTTATTCTCAATTAGTCCCAAACGTGCCATTTTTTATATATGACCAACTCTAATATTCGATATTAGGCATTGACATTTTTTCTATAAGAATAATATTGTTTTTGGCAAGGTGTATTTAATAAGGTGTATGCATCAGATACAACAACAAATATTTTACAAAAACAACATTGTTGTTATAGAAATTAAATTGTCATGCTGACAATAAGTTTTTGACAAAGATAAACAAAAACAATAATTAATTTATTTTTGTCAACAACTATTCTTTGAGGAATAATTAATGAATTTGTGTATTCTTGGGTTATTGGCGGTTTTAGGTGAATGAAAAATAAAGTTTAAGACCTGGTCGCGATTAATTTTAAGTTTCCGGCATGCAGCCCATGATTCCTTGTGATGTTGTTTATATTGTGAATTACAATCTATTTTTTCTATGGAGTGGCTTCAAATTTTGCCTTCTTAAAGAAAATTGTATGTCCTTCAATTTCAATCCCCGGCCAAAGATTAAATCATGGAAATTGTGTTAACCGTTTAAATCTTTCTATAGGCGATTTTACCTCTGCCGAGGATTGTGACAAGCACCAAGGGGCCGATTCCAATATAGGCTAACATAATCTCCTCGATTTCATAAGTAGTTGGGATTTATGGACTGATTTCCACCCATAACATAAGATATGTGAACCAATCGGCGAACGGGGTTATAACTGATTTAAGCGTATGTTTCCTTTCCGTCCGCCTCTATGAATGTATTTTCTTTAATTGTTATTATTAAAAATACTACATTTTAAAACCATTTTTGACATCGAAATGTTATATTGAAAATGTTTTTGACAATTTACTTTACAAACAATAAGGAAAAAAGTTTGAAACCATATGATTGTCACTTACACCTTATTAAATACGCCTTGGTTTTTGGTATTTTTTTTTTTTTTTTTTGTTCAAATAAAATTTTTCAAACTGACAAAAATGAAAAAAAGTTAATGTCAATTATTTCTTTCTATTTGCATTACAATACACATACATATGTACATATTTTGTATTTTATGTATTTTAAAATATATCCTCAACGTTCCAAAATCTTCGGATGATGCGCAATTGCAGCCATATTTCTGAAACAAATTTGAAAGTAGCTACATGCTACTAACATACATACAAACATATATTTTTACGCCGCATCCACGCGAAGTTTTAGGAGTTTATCTAACCTATGTTACTTCCATCGCTTGACGAACTCTTGGTAAAACTTTTGCAGTGGTTCTTAAGTCCACAAACAATATGCTTTCGATTTTCTATATACATATGTATAGATAGGAATGCAATGAGGAGTGCATTTTCCGGTTAAATGGATTATGCGTACTTACGCCCACGTTACTCAGACATATTTTGAAGTCGGTATCTGTAACCTTTCTTAGGATATACACAAATTACATGTTCATAATTTCTGAGGCATGAGTACGTTCGATGCTATAACTCCGCATACACGCCGAATCTTAGAGGTTTATATAACCTATGTTATTCCCAGGACATGCCATGACATTCTGTGAAAGTCTCAGTAAAATTTGTCCAGCGATTTTTGAGTCTACGAACGAAATGTTTTCTGTTTTCAATATGCAGATTTTGAAAATGCAGCAGCAAATGTACTTTACGTTGATCATACCAAGCTCGTTTTTGTATGGATGGTGTGTATTTACACCTACGTTATTCACACAAATTTTGAAGCCGGTATCTGTAACCGTTCTTAAGATATACGCATATTACATGTTTCGAAATTTTGAGGTTGGTTTACTATTGACGCTATGACTCTGCATCCACGCGGAATTTTAGAAGTTTAGCTAGCCTATGTTACTTTCAGGGCATGCCCCGACATACAGTGTAAATATCATTAAGAGTCTAAACGCAACCAGAGAGTCACGAGTCAGCGTCATACTTTTTCGCCGGCGTGAAAACCAAACGAAAGAGTTAGCGTTAGCGGCACAAAATGTCAATTATTTGTTTTCATTTTCTGACAGAAAATTTTACGTTGTGCAAACCAAAATCAATTTATTATTTAATAAACAATAATGTCAAGGAACTTGGATAAAATTATCAAAAAAAATATTTTTCTTCCATTTTATTATTAATTCGTTAAAAAACATCCACAATCATTGAAAATATTTGTTTTTTCAACAGCACTGCCATATGTTTTGATATAAATTCTCATTGAAATTTGGTAGCACTGTTGATTTTTACCTAAAATATGGCAACTCAATTGAGAGCAAGAGAGAAATTTTGAATATGACGCTGAGCAAAAATGAATAAGAGTCTAAACGCAACCAGAGAGTCACGAGTCAGAGTCTAAACGCAACCAGAGAGTCACGAGTCAGCGTCATACTTTTTCGCCGGCGTGAAAACCAAACGAAAGAGTTAGCGTTAGCGGCACAAAATGTCAATTATTTGTTTTCATTTTCTGACAGAAAATTTTACGTTGTGCAAACCAAAATCAATTTATTATTTAATAAACAATAATGTCAAGCAACTTGGATAAAATTATTGAAAAAATTATTTTTCTTCCATTTTATTAATAATTCGTTAAGAAACATCCACAATCTTTGAAAATATTTGTTTTTTAACAGCACTGCCATATGTTTCGATATAAATTCTCATTGAAATTTGGTAGCACTGTTGATTTTTACCTAAAATATGGCAACTCAATTGAGAGCAAGAGAGAAATTTTGAGTATGACGCTGAGCAAAAATGAATAAAATCTATTCTAGCGTCATGCCACTAGACGCGAACGTCAGCCGTCGCGATTTCCCGTTGCCTATAAGAAACACACGGCAAACGACTGTCGCTGACTCTAGACTCTATGGTTGCGTTTAGACTCTCAGCGTCATACTTTTTCGCCGGCGTGAAAACCAAACGAAAGAGTTGGCGTTAGCGGCACAAAATGTCAATTATTTGTTTTCATTTTCTGACAGAAAATTTTACGTTGTGCAAACCAAAATCAATTTATTATTTAATAAACAATAATAATTGAAAACCTTATTTTTCTTCCATTTTATTATTAAAACGTCCACAATCTTTGAAAATATTTGTTTGTTTAACAGCACTGCCATATGTTTTGATATAAATTCTCATTGAAATTTGGTAGCACTGTTGATTTTTACCTAAAATATGGCAACTCAATTGAGAGCAAGAGAGCAAATTTGAGTATGACGCTGAGCAAAAATGAATAAAATCTATTCTAGCGTCAAGCCGCTAGTCGCGAACTTCAGCCGTCGCGATTTCCCGTTGCCAATAAGAAACACACGGCAAACGACTGTCGCTGACTCTAGACTCTATGGTTGCGTTTAGACTCTAAAATCTATTCTAGCGTTATGCCGCTAGACGCGAACGTCAGCCGTCGCGATTTCCCGTTGCCTATAAGAAACACACGGCAATCGACTGTCGCTGACTCTAGACTCTATGGTTGCGTTTAGACTCTAACATCTGTTCAGCGGTTTTAGCGTCTATCGGGAACATACACACAAACAAACAAATTTTTTTTTTATTTTATATATATAGATAGATATTACAAAAAAGTTCGTGCTGTCACAATTTTATTTATTTTGTGCTCTCGACATATGTGTCAATTTATAAAAGAATATCAGAGTCAAGCTGGATTTCGGACGCCGGAGACAACTGGAAAAACTTTGACCGAGTTTGTTGAATTTTAGGTAAAGATAAAAAGAAGAATTCTGAACTTCTTTCGTGTGTCTTACCCTTTAGATTTCCTATGTTTACGGCATGAAATAAGATTACCAAATAATTCTAATCAAAAATAACGGCAATTCTTAATATGTGATTGTAAAAGAATACGCATAAACAAAATACAAAACCTTGCATATGGCAACTATTAGAAGTATAATTTTCTATGTTGCCACATTATAGCGTAAATTTTGTTGAAATGCCGACAACTTTGTTGTATTGCAGAAAAATATAAACTAAATAAAAAACTTTTCAAAATGCATTTTTAATTTATAACAATTAAAATATCAGATTTACATTTATTAACACTCTTTCCCTACTGTCCGTTCGTCATTACTTCGGAAAACATGATTATCAACAAAATCCCTCATTGTTGCCACTGGCAACAAATATTTGAGTGTGGTAACATACTTTCTAGTTTTCTGCACAGTCGATTGATTTTCACACCCAAGTGCGGACGTAATCAATCGACGCTCCGCAAAAAAATTGCAAATAGTAAAAGTTTTTGTCGGTCTATAAAAAAACACAATCTTATTAAATCTTATCATTGTAAAATTCTGAATTGTTATGGGTGATTCCTTGGAAAATCCCGATACATCGGTGGAGGCGGTTCAAAATGTTACCATCGTTGACTATGGAGCATTTGCCAATTACATACGCAAAGCTGTAACCATTCTATTGCCGGAGGAGGATGTGGTGCCACCGGCTCTAAATGTGGCTTTGGAAGATCCTGATAATCAAGAAAAAATTAAAAAGTTCTTGTCGGATCCCCAGGTTCAGGCTTTGTACATTCAAAGGAATTGCCTAAAAGGTATGACTTTTTTGTTCAGCTTTTGGCTATAACGGGACATATTAAGCGGTGATGGTGGTGACGCCCAAAGGTTTCTTTTGTTAGAAATGGCGTCAAATAAAATGTTGGTGTTTAAATCTTTAAACATCGGCATAAATTCTGAAGTATTGTTAACAATTTTATATTACATATAAATGAGTATACATATTTATTTTGTACAAATTTTGCATCGTGGCTAATAAGAAAAATCGATACATCGGTGGTTGCTGCAAATTGACGTCATTTTTTCTTTGTGATGAGTCATGCACTAACCTCTATTACAATTATATGACAGCGAATAAATCTATTACGTTTTATAGAATGGCGTTTGCCAAAACCGGTATAAATAAAAAACAGCTGATTTATGTCTGTTTACAAACATAGGTAATGTGGACACTAGGGTGGGTTATGACTTTTTCTCAAAAAATGATTTCCCATAGTTCGAATAAATGAACTTTTACCTATTAATGACTGAAATAAGGTATATTCCACTTAATTTTTTAAATAAGGAAAGTCAAATACGGATTGAATTTATATTAAAGAAATATTTGTGTTTTAATCATACAAACCCAGAACAGAAAGTATTTCAATTTTTATGACTTCCACAAAATATTAATTTTTGTTTATCTTGTAAAATCTTGTTATTCTCTTATAATTTTTTTTATCTTATGTTTTTACAGAAGATGAAAATGAACAACCTGCTGAGGGTGAAGAAGAAAAGGAGTTTGTCACCTATCAAATCAGCAATGATGTTCACTTCACCAACAGTCGTATGGCCTCGTTGGCGTGCATCAAACGCGGTACTGTCATCGAAGCCGACAAGTCTATACATTCCCAATTGCGTCTAATCAATTTCTCGGATGGTTCACCATACGAAACTTTGCATGCTTTCATTAGCAAATCGTTGGCACCCTATTTCAAGTCATACGTTAAAGAATCTGGACGTGCCGATCGTGATGGCGACAAAATGGCACCATCTGTTGAAAAGAAACTGGCCGAATTGGAAATGGGTTTGTTGCATTTGCAACAGAACATTGATATACCGGAAATTACATTAACAGCTCATAACACTGTTAATGCTGTCATTCGTAAGTGTGCCGATGAAAATCGAAAGGCCAAGGTGGCTGATTTTGGCGATAAAGTGGAAGATTCGTCATTTTTGAATCAACTGCAAAATGGTGTTAACCGTTGGATTAAGGAAATCAAGAAAGTTACCAAACTGGATCGTGATCCTTCATCGGGTACTGCTTTGCAGGTGAATATGCCGAATTGTTTTTACCAACATTAATTTAACCACACAAATGTTTTTTCTAGGAAATTTCATTCTGGTTGAACTTAGAGCGTGCTCTGTATCGCATTCAAGAGAAACGCGAAAGTCCCGAAGTAGCTTTGACTTTGGACATTCTTAAGCACGGCAAGCGTTTCCATGCCACTGTGTCGTTCGATACTGACACTGGCCTTAAGCAGGCTTTGGCCATGGTGGCTGATTACAATCCTCTAATGAAGGACTTCCCCATAAATGATCTTCTATCAGCCACTGAATTGGAGAAGATACGACCTGCTGTGCAGCAGATTTTCTCCCACTTACGTAAAGTCCGTAACACTCGTTACCCCATCCAACGTTGTCTTAAGCTTATCGAAGCTATATCACGCGATTTGTCCCAGCAACTATTGAAAGTTTTAGGCACACGTCGTCTTATGCATATTCCATTCGATGAATTCGAGCGGGTTATGAATCAATGCTTCGAAATCTTCAGTTGCTGGGATGATGAGTACGACAAACTCCAAGGACTGCTACGAGATATTGTCAAGAAGAAGCGTGATGAACACTTGAAGATGGTATGGCGTGTATCGCCAGCTCATAAGAAGCTGCAAACACGCATGGAACATATGCGCAAATTCAGACGCCAACATGAACAATTGCGCACTGTTATTTTGCGTGTTTTACGCCCAACTAAACAACAGCAGCAAAACGAAAGTAATGCTGGTGAAACCAAGCAGCCCTACAGTTTGGAAGCTGATGATGCCAACGCCATTGAAGAAGTCAACTTGGCTTATGAAAATGTAAAGGAGGTAGACTGCTTGGATATTTCCAAGGAGGGCTCAGAAGCATGGGAAGCCGCTGTAAAGCGTTATGAAGAACGTATTGATCGTGTCGAGACACGTATCACAGCCCATTTGCGTGACCAATTGGGCACGGCCAAGAATGCCAATGAGATGTTCCGAATTTTCTCTCGCTTCAATGCTCTATTTGTTCGACCTCATATTAGAGGAGCTATACGTGAATATCAAACTCAGCTTATTCAAAGAGTGAAGGATGATATTGAAGCTTTGCATGAGAAGTTTAAGGTAAGATGACAACATAATTTATTTTAGCTGTGTTTGAAATTTTTTATGTCTTATAGGTCCAATATCCACAATCGAAAAGTTGTCGCCTTTCGACAGTGCGTGATTTGCCTCCCGTAGCTGGTTCCATCATTTGGGCCCGTCAAATCAACAACCAACTTACAATGTATTTGAAACGTGTTGAAGATGTCTTGGGCAAAGGTTGGGAATCCCACATTGAAGGACAAAAACTTAAGGCCGACGGTGATAGTTTCCGTGCTAAGTTAAATATCGATGAAGTTTTCCAAGAATGGGCCCGAAAAGTACAAGAACGTAATTTTGGCAGTACCGGTCGTATTTTTACCATTGATTCCGCACGTTCTCGTTCGGGAAAAGGAAATATTTTGAAATTGCGTGTTAACTTTTTGCCAGAAATCATTACATTGTCCAAGGAAGTTCGTAATATTAAAAATTTAAGTTTCCGGTATGTAAAAATACGAGTGATGTGAAAAATCACTTAACCAAATATATATTTATTTTTCTTTTAGGGTTCCCTTGGCCATTGTCAATAAGGCACATCAAGCGAATCAAATTTATCCCTATGCTATTTCATTGATTGAAAGTGTTCGTACATATGAACGGACATTGGAAAAGGTATGCTTTTGAAAATTTTAGTTTATCTATTGACTACTTTCTGAGAGTGCAACAAAGGTTATTCAACATTGGTTTATTTTCAAACTGAAACATTTTTATTAAATGTTTTGTTTATTTTGAAAATGGTTTAAGTCCATTTTAGGTTCTGATACCTATATATTCCATCATATTTAAAAATTAGTACCACTTAATAATATTTTTTAAACAGATCAAACCTTTCAATATCTCAATCTGAGATAAATATACTGACACCACTTTCAAAACAAACGACTCAGTTATAACTTTTGTTATTGTTGTCGCTATTAAAGCAAATAATAATGTGTTGTGATGTGATCATCACAATAATGCGATATTCGAGATCAACAGTTTGAACAGATTATTTCCAAGCCCTGCCTCTAGTAAAATATTGTTATTTAACCTTTGTTTACTCTAACGAGTTTCCTATTTCAAATAAGCCCATTGCATTATACTATTTTATCACCTATACAAGAAACACTTGACACCATGTGTTGTTAAAAAAATTATTTAAATCATTTTCTTTTTGAATTTTGATAATTTCGATAATTTTTATGTAAACTTTAGTCGAGCATGCACCTTTCCATAAAGGCAGCATATAGCTTTTTTGCATTATGTTTTTATTTATTTTTTATTTTTTCGTTTACACAATTTCTACACTTGTTTCCACACGTTTTATACTAAATTCAAAAATTACGATTGAATATATAATACAACCTATATAAGGGTTTATGCATACTATTTAGCGAGCTAAAATTTTAATTTATAAATAAAATTTTGAATTTCGTATAAAATGCGTTTATTCTTTTACCAAAACACAATGGTTGATCCCTTATTTTATGAATATTCCTCCAAAATACCTTCAAACCAAACAAAAAACAATCCTTTCTTATTTACATGCAGCTAAATAATAGGAGTTTAGCACAAAATTCTGTCTTCAAGGTAGTAATAACAAGAGTTTTATAAAAAGTTTCAAGAAAATGTTTTTCATTTTTTTAAATACATTTTAGATGAGTAATTTTTTGTCTTTGTCATAAGTAAAAATACGGCATGCTTTTTCCATAGTTAACATTTCAATAGTTGTTACTTAGATCTAACAATTTTAATATTGACTTGGAATTATGTGTAACCTTTTTTCGTTTATGATCTGAAATGATAGATTGAAGATCGCGCCAGTATTGTCCCTCTGGTAGCTGGTCTACGCAAAGAAGTTTTAAATTTGATATCCGAGGGCATTGGATTAGTATGGGAATCTTATAAATTGGATCCATATGTATTGCGACTTTCCGAGTGTGTAACACAATTCCAGGAGAAGGTAATCGACACGATTATACATATACTAAAAATAAAGCAGCTACTAATGATTTTCATCTCAGGTGGAAGATCTTTTGGTTGTCGAAGAACAATTGGATGTTGATGTACGCTCCTTAGAAACTTGCCCCTACAGTGCTGCAACATTTGGAGAAATTCTTTCGAAAATCCAACATGCTGTCGATGATTTGTCATTGCGTCAATATTCCAACTTGAGCGTCTGGGTACAACGCCTCGATGAAGAGGTCGAAAAGAAGTTGGCATTACGTTTGCAGGCCGGCATTCAAGCTTGGACTGAATCGTTGACGGGCAACAAAAAGGAAGTGGATCTTTCAATGGATACCGATGCTCCAGCTCAGCCAACTCATAAACTTGGCGGTGAGCCGCAAATCCAAAACGCTGTTCACGAAATACGTATAACCAATCAACAAATGTATTTGTATCCATCGATTGAGGAGGCCAGATTCCAAATTATGCAACAATTGTTTGCCTGGGAGGCCATTGTTACTTCGCAAATTCGCTTGCAAAGTTCTCGTTATCAGGTCGGTTTGGATAAGCCTGTATCGCAAACTTATCGTAATTTACTTACCAAATTGCCGGACTGCAAAATTCTCGAATTGGCATATGATGCCATTGAAAGTAAAATCGGCGAGGTCCGCAGCTATGTGGATGAATGGTTGCGCTACCAATCATTGTGGGATTTGCAAGCCGACACTTTGTATGGTCGTTTGGGCGAAGATGTTAATCTGTGGATAAAATGTTTGAATGACATAAAGAAGTCGCGTACAACATTTGATACTTCTGACACTCGCAGGGCATATGGCCCCATAATTATCGACTATGCCAAGGTGCAGGGCAAGGTAACCTTGAAATATGACTCATGGCACAAGGAGGCATTGGGTAAATTTGGATCATTGCTGGGCAATGAAATGACCACTTTCCATGCTAAGGTTTCGAAGTCTAGAACTGATTTAGAAATGCAAAGTATTGGTAAGTTAGATAAAAACCAAATAAATAAATACGAACAAATTGTTAATGCGAAATATTTACAGAGGCTGCAAGTACTACTGATGCTGTTAGTTTCATTACCTATGTACAGTCGCTTAAAAAAGAAATGCTTGTCTGGGACAAACAGGTTGAGGTATTCCGTGAAGCACAGCGCATTTTGGAACGTCAACGTTTCCAATTCCCAAACAATTGGTTGCATGTCGATAATATTGAGGGTGAATGGTCAGCATTTAATGAAATCATTAAACGCAAAGATACTGCTATTCAAACTCAGGTGGCCAGTTTGCAAGCTAAAATTGTGGCCGAAGATAAGGCTGTGGAGACGCGTACACTTGATTTTCTCAAGGATTGGGAAGACAATAAGCCTACTGGTGGCAAGATTCGTCCCGATGATGCTCTACAACAATTGCAGTTGTTCGAAAGCAAATACTCTCGCTTGAAGGAAGAACGCGATAATGTTGCCAAGGCCAAGGAAGCTTTGGAATTGCAAGAATCTGCTGTGGCCAATAACAGTTCCGAGAGAATGAATGTTGCATTAGAAGAATTGCAAGATTTGCGCGGTGTTTGGAGTGAGCTGTCTAAAGTATGGACTCAAATTGATGAAACTCGGTAGGTTTATTTTCAAATTGAAATATCTATTTTTTTCTAACACCCTTTCATTTTTTATCAACAGTGAAAAACCATGGTTGTCCGTTCAACCTCGCAAACTTCGTCAACAGTTGGAGGCATTGATGTCACAATTAAAGGAATTGCCTGCTCGCTTGCGCATGTACGAATCTTACGAATATGTCAAGAAACTCATTCAGAGCTACATCAAGGTCAACATGCTAATTGTAGAGCTAAAATCTGATGCTCTCAAGGAACGTCACTGGAAACAACTGACAAAGGAATTACGTGTCAACTGGGTCATTTCCGATCTTACTCTGGGCCAAGTTTGGGATGTAAACTTGCAAAAGAATGAAAACGTCGTAAAAGATATTATGCGTGTTGCTCAAGGTGAAATGGCCTTGGAAGAATTCTTGAAACAGGTCCGAGATACTTGGCAAAGTTATGAATTGGATTTGATCAACTACCAAAATAAGTGTCGCATCATACGTGGTTGGGACGACTTGTTCAATAAAGTTAAAGAACACATCAATTCAGTCGCTGCTATGAAGCTATCACCATTCTACAAGGTTTTCGAAGAAGAAACCATAACTTGGGAAGAGAAATTGAATCGCATCAATGCATTATTCGATGTTTGGATTGATGTACAACGTAGATGGGTTTATTTGGAAGGAATCTTTTCTGGTAGTGCGGACATCAAATCCTTGTTGCCCCAAGAAACTTCAAGATTTCAAAGCATTAGTTCGGAATTCTTGGGTCTAATGAAGAAGGTGGCAAAGTCTCCTAAAGTTATGGATGTTCTGAACATACCAGCTGTTCAGAGGTCACTCGAACGTCTGGCCGATCTTTTGGGCAAAATCCAAAAGGCTTTGGGCGAATACTTGGAAAGAGAACGTACATCATTCCCACGTTTCTACTTCGTGGGTGACGAAGATCTGTTGGAGATTATTGGTAATAGCAAAAATATTGCCCGTTTGCAAAAACATTTCAAGAAAATGTTTGCTGGTATTGCTGCTATCATTTTGAACGAGGACAACACCGTCATATTGGGCATAGCCTCACGTGAAGGCGAAGAAGTTCGTTTTATTAATCCGGTATCGACTGTGGAACATCCCAAAATTAACGAATGGCTAACATTGGTTGAGAAACAAATGCGTTTTACCCTGGCTTCATTTTTGGCTCAAGCTGTGCAGGATATCAAACAATTCCGCGAAGGTCAAATTGATCCACAGAAATACATGGAATGGTGTGACAAATATCAAGCTCAAATTGTTGTATTGGCTGCGCAAATTCTATGGTCTGAGGATGTAGAAGCCGCTTTGCAGCAGGCTTCTGAGACGAATACAACAAAACCATTGCAGCGTGTTTTGGGCACTGTCGAATCAACATTGAATGTTTTGGCAGATTCTGTACTGCAAGAACAACCACCATTGCGCAGAAAGAAATTGGAACATTTGGTATATGCAAACGCTTCATCATTGGTATGAATATAAACTTTAATCTTTTGCTTTCTTTTTTAGATCAACGAATTTGTACATAAACGTACCGTTACCAGACGTTTAATAACCAATGGCGTAACTCATCCAAAATCATTCCAATGGTTAACCGAAATGCGATTCTACTTTGATCCCAGACAAACTGTGGTATGTTGCTACAGACATTTCTAATTGATCGTGGTATTCTACATCAAATGAATTTTTTCTGTTCTCCTTCATTTGCAGGTTCTTCAACAACTTACTATTCATATGGCCAATGCTCGTTTCTACTATGGTTTCGAATATTTGGGCGTACAAGATCGTCTGGTACAAACTCCATTGACAGATCGTTGTTACTTGACCATGACACAAGCCTTGGAGGCACGTTTGGGCGGTTCTCCATTCGGCCCTGCTGGTACTGGTAAAACTGAATCCGTTAAAGCTTTGGGCAACCAGCTTGGTCGTTTCGTGTTGGTATTCAATTGTGACGAAACATTCGATTTCCAAGCTATGGGTCGTATCTTTGTTGGTCTGTGCCAAGTAGGCGCCTGGGGTTGCTTCGATGAATTCAATCGTTTGGAAGAACGTATGCTCTCAGCTTGTTCACAACAGATCCAAACTATACAGGAAGCTCTTAAGTATGAAACCGATAGCAACAAGGAGAGTATCACGGTTGAATTGGTGGGCAAACAAGTACGCGTTTCCACCGATATGGCTATATTCATAACAATGAATCCCGGTTATGCTGGTCGTTCCAATTTGCCAGATAATTTGAAGAAATTGTTCCGTTCCTTGGCTATGACCAAACCAGATCGCCAATTAATTGCCGAGGTTATGTTGTTCTCACAAGGTTTCCGTTCGGCTGAAAAATTGGCCTGTAAAATCGTACCATTCTTCAAACTTTGCGATGAACAGTTATCGAACCAATCTCACTACGATTTTGGTTTGCGTGCTTTGAAGTCTGTTCTTATTTCGGCTGGTAATGTGAAGCGTGATCGCATTCAAAAGATCAAGGAAACACTGATGCAACGTGGTGAAGAAAATATCGATGAAGCATCTGTGGCCGAAAATCTACCAGAACAAGAAATTCTTATACAATCAGTATGCGAGACAATGGTGCCGAAATTGGTGGCCGAAGATATCCCATTGTTATTCTCCCTTTTGAGTGATGTCTTCCCCAATGTTGGCTATACTCGTGCCGAAATGAAGGGATTAAAGGAGGAGATTCGCAAAGTTTGCCAAGAGGATTATTTGGTTTGTGGAGAGGGCGATGAACAAGGTGCTGCTTGGATGGAAAAGGTATGTTTATTTATATTGTGGAAGGCCAGCAATGGTAAAATATTTCAACTGTGGTGGTTTGATAAAGGAAAGATTCTAATATAATGAAGATTAAAACTGTGCATACGATTTTTTTAATATTAAAAAACTTCCCTACGTCTTAAATGAATCAACAAATTTATTAAGAATGAGACTGAAGTCTAAAAATAGTTTCCGAATATTTATTGTCTATTTTAAAGGCATTAAGATGAAGTTTCGAAATTTATCGATGGCCCATATTTAACCATCCATTACCAAATTAGGGATTAATAATTTTATACCGTTTATATTTATTCAAATTTTACATCATTCTCCATTTTGCAAAAATGTAATTTCCAAATTTGATTAAAACAAAATCGATATATGCCCATTTATTATATTCCTTTATCAAATTCTTTTAATTACAAATGCAAAATAATATCACTTCAATATAATGTATAACACGTTCATATTTGAAACAAACAAAAAATAATTTAATTTTCCTTTACACGTATGTTTTAAAATACTTTTTATTAAATTTCTTCCTTATTAATTTCAAATTTCTCTTAAAAAATATTGAAAACGTGAACAAATATATTTGAAAAAAAACTTGCACAATTACCAACTGTAAAATAATGAACAAATTCTCTTTAATGAAAACAATGTATGAAAAAGGGATTTGGTGAAACTTGGGTTGATAAAGTAAGAAATTTTCTAAGTTCTTATTCATAACAGCTGTATAAATTGTATAGAAAACAAGTTTAAATTATGGATGTAAATATAAATAATATTTTCAAAACAATTTAGACTTGTTAATACTGCTTTCATTGTGATTCACTGTATATCTTTTTTGTTGGGAAGATGAATTATTTTTCTAATAAATATTTTTTGTTAATATTAAATTCCAAATATAGGTCCTACAATTATATCAAATTTCCCGACTCAATCATGGTCTTATGATGGTGGGTCCTTCTGGATCCGGTAAATCGACAGCTTGGCGTACTCTGCTTAAGGCATTGGAGCGCTTTGAAGGCATTGAAGGTGTCGCTCATGTTATTGATCCCAAGGCCATATCGAAGGAAGCATTGTATGGTGTCTTGGACCCCAATACACGTGAATGGACCGATGGTCTTTTCACTCATATTTTGCGTAAAATTATTGACAACGTACGTGGTGAAATCAATAAGCGCCAATGGATTATTTTCGATGGTGACGTTGATCCCGAATGGGTTGAGAATTTGAATTCAGTGCTGGATGACAACAAACTGCTGACTTTGCCCAATGGTGAACGTTTGTCTTTGCCACCAAATGTGCGCATTATGTTTGAAGTACAAGACTTGAAATATGCCACATTGGCCACCGTTTCACGTTGCGGTATGGTTTGGTTCTCGGAAGATGTTTTGTCTACGGAAATGATATTTGAGAACTATTTACTACGTTTACGTTCAATACCTTTGGAAGATACCGATGACGACTTTGTAGGTATTTCCAAACCAACCAAGGATAAAGAAGATGAAGTATCGCCATCATTGCAAGTTCAACGAGACATTGCCATGCTGTTGCAACCATATTTCTCAGCGGATGGTGTTGTTGTGCGCAGTTTGGAATATGCGGCCAATGAGCAAGAACACATCATGGACTTTACTCGTCTAAGGGCACTGAGCTCCTTGTTCTCCATGTTGAATCAGGCAGCCCGGTAAGATTTTAATTTTTATTTTTTACTTTAAAGAATTTTAATTTTTTTCTTTTAAAACTTTTTTTAGAAATATTTTGAACTACAATGCTACACACCCTGACTTCCCATGCTCCAACGATCAACTGGAGCAATATATTACCAAATCTCTGATTTATTCAGTTCTTTGGTCATTCGCTGGCGATTCTAAACTCAAAGTACGCACTGATTTGGGAGATTTTGTGCGTAGTGTAACCACTGTTCCATTGCCTGGTTCAACTGGTGTGCCAATTATCGATTATGAGGTTAGCATTAATGGAGAATGGGTTCCATGGTCCAATAAGGTACCTGTTATTGAAGTAGAAACCCACAAAGTTGCTTCGCCTGATATTGTGGTTCCCACACTGGATACTGTTCGTCATGAATCTTTGCTCTACACCTGGTTGGCTGAACATAAGCCATTGGGTAAGTAATTTAGTGTTTCTCTCCATACAAAACAAATGTTCAACAAATATTCTTTCTTGTTTAGTTTTGTGCGGTCCCCCCGGTTCTGGTAAGACAATGACTTTGTTCTCAGCTCTCAGAGCTTTACCCGATATGGAGGTTGTTGGCTTGAATTTCTCATCCGCCACCACTCCTGAACTTCTACTGAAGACATTCGATCATTACTGCGAATATCGCAAAACTCCCAACGGCGTGGTGCTTTCACCCGTACAAATTGGCAAATGGTTGGTCTTGTTCTGCGATGAAATCAATTTGCCCGATATGGATTCGTATGGTACTCAACGTGTAATATCCTTCTTGAGACAATTGGTTGAACATAAGGGCTTCTATCGGGCCAGCGATCAAGCTTGGGTGTCGTTAGAACGTATTCAATTTGTTGGAGCATGTAATCCACCCACAGATCCGGGTCGTAAACCATTGTCGCATCGTTTCTTGCGTCATGTGCCTATTATTTATGTTGATTATCCTGGTGAGACCTCATTGAAACAGATTTATGGAACCTTCTCTAGGGCCATGTTGCGTCTAATGCCAACATTGCGTGGTTATGCTGAACCCTTAACCAATGCCATGGTTGAATTCTACTTGGCTTCTCAAGATCGCTTCACCCAGGACATGCAACCACATTATGTTTACTCGCCTCGTGAAATGACTCGCTGGGTCCGTGGTATCTGTGAAGCAATTCGTCCTTTGGATTCCCTACCTGTCGAAGGTTTGGTTCGTATTTGGGCTCACGAAGCATTGCGTCTGTTCCAAGATCGTTTGGTCGAAGAATCGGAACGTAAATGGACCAATGAAAATATTGACACTGTTGCTTTGAAACACTTCCCTGGCATTAATTCCGAGGAGGCATTGGCTCGTCCCATTTTGTACAGTAACTGGCTCTCCAAGGATTACATGCCAGTCAATCGTGAAGAATTGCGTGACTACGTACGCGCCAGACTTAAAGTATTCTATGAAGAAGAACTGGACGTGCCCTTGGTGTTGTTCGATGAAGTTTTGGAACATGTTTTGCGTATCGATCGTATCTTCCGCCAGCCACAAGGCCATCTTTTGCTTATCGGTGTATCTGGAGCAGGCAAGACCACACTATCTCGTTTTGTAGCCTGGATGAATGGGTTGTCGATCTTCCAAATCAAGGTCCACAACAAATACACTGGCGAAGATTTCGATGAAGATTTACGTTCTGTCCTGCGTCGGTCTGGCTGCAGAGACGAGAAAATTGCCTTCATTTTGGATGAGTCGAATGTTTTGGATTCTGGCTTCTTGGAACGAATGAACACCTTGCTGGCTAACGGCGAAGTTCCTGGTCTGTTTGAAGGTGATGAATATACCACGTTGATGACTCAGTGTAAGGAAGGAGCCCAACGAGAGGGCTTGATGTTGGATTCTAGCGATGAATTATATAAATGGTATGTTGACGATATATTCCTTTTTTGTTATTTATTTCAAATTTAAATTTTTAATTTTTTTTGCAGGTTCACACAACAAGTCATGCGCAACTTACATGTTGTCTTCACAATGAATCCATCTACTGATGGTCTCAAGGATCGCGCAGCCACTTCCCCAGCTTTGTTCAATCGTTGTGTCCTCAATTGGTTCGGTGATTGGTCTGATTCGGCTCTCTTCCAAGTCGGCAAGGAATTCACCACTCGTGTTGATTTGGAGAAACCCGGCTGGACACCACCCGATTTCTTCCCATCTGTATGTCCACTGGTACCATCACAACCGTCTCATCGTGATGCTGTCATCAATAGTTGTGTGTATGTCCACCAAACTCTTCACCAAGCTAATGCACGTTTGGCTAAACGTGGTGGTCGCACCATGGCAGTTACTCCACGCCATTATTTGGACTTTATCCATCACTTTGTTAAACTGTACAATGAGAAGCGTAGCGATTTAGAAGAGCAGCAATTGCATCTGAATGTGGGTTTGAATAAGATTGCGGAGACTGTGGAACAAGTGGAAGAAATGCAAAAATCCTTGGCTGTTAAGAAACAAGAACTTCAGGCTAAGAACGAAGCTGCTAATGCCAAACTTAAGCAAATGTTCAAAGATCAGCAAGAGGCCGAAAATAAGAAGAAACAATCGCAAGAGCTCCAAAATAAGTTGGCCGAACAGACTATTAAGGTAGAGGAGAAACGTAAATATGTCATGGCCGATCTGGCCCAAGTTGAACCGGCAGTTATTGACGCACAACAAGGTATGTTTTCAGATTCCAATTTACACAATAGATTCTATTTTAAAATAAGTTTCAAACAACTTAAGTTAGTGCTAAGTCTATCAACGTAACTATGTTTAATTTTAATTTTATGAACAAATCTTTAGCTGTTAGCGGCATTAAAAAGAAACAATTGGCTGAAATTCGTACCATGGCAAATCCACCGCCACCTGTTAAGTTAGCTTTGGAATCGGTGTGCGAGCTACTCAATGAGAGTGCACCCGACTGGAAGACAATGCGCGGCATTATTGTTAGAGATACCTTTATATCATCCATTGTCAATTTCCAAACCGAAAATATCACGTACGACCCGTTTATAAACTTTATTACATATATATCTCTTGCATACATACATTTACCTACATCCATGTTTATATTGTCCTAATATCGTATCGCCATTACTTCCTCATTCTAAACAAAATATCCTACTAGCAATGTCCTAATATTTCTAATCCATTTTTAAAAGACCCCATTCTGCTAATTCATCCTGTAATCAAAATTAACGTCTCTGTTGTCTGATGATGAAAATGGTTCCAATACCTAATTGAGTACTTTTATTTGGCTAGGCTGTACATATTTCGTTTAATAATTCTTTCACATTTTTATTTTATTTTTAAAATGCGGATCTATAATGTGGTCTCTTCATACTGAATTCATAGAAATGTATTCCTTTCCCAATTCCTTCAATTCTAAAAACCAACCATCATATGTACTTAAACTAGACACCCATCACCAAATTATGCCAAAGCAAATGCCGTGCACCGAAGTCTATTTTATTATAATATTTTTATTGTCTAGCTAATGTTACAGTTTATGTTTAGCAATATAATTTTTGTTTTATATTAATAATTATTAATATTATGTATAAAAAAACTATATGATTCCGACGACATATAATAAGCATTTTTAGGTTACTCTAACACATGCTTTCTCAAGATATTGAAAATATATTGCTTAAATCTCTATTTGGTTTAGCCTAATTATAAAAATTACATTAAAAAGTGAAGACAGCTTCAACGAAAACAAACGGCACAATACCCATACGAATCTAAAAAAAACACATTCTGATTTATTCATTAGGTAGATATTGTGTACCAAAATATACATCTAGTTTAAGGGAATAATGAAGGGATTGAAAATAATTTAAAAATATAATAAGAAATATCAAATGAAGATAAGACCAAAGAAATCTTTCTGCTGTATAAAAACGAAATTAGCATATAGATATTCTTACAGGAAGCCTCAGGTTGCTGCAGGTACATTTACTCTAAATTGGATACGTCGAAGACAGTAGGTTACTGTCCAGATTTTGCAAACCTTCGAACATATATAAAGACTGAAGGACTTCACACAGAATTCCTAGAATTATAGCGAGACCAGTCTCAATATTTTCGTTTCTACAGCTCACAACGCGTCTTAGTTAAGAGTATGTCCAACTGCCGGACATGTTAAAGTAGAAATCTATATTTTGTTTTATTTTCCCCAACTGCGTTCGTAAATTTATCGGAGTAGAGGGAGACCAATCTCAATATTTTCTGTTACAATACATAATCGAACTCTACATTTCCAAGTCAATTTATTTTAAGCTGCTGTTAGTCAACATCCAAATAACGGCAATCTATTTAAGGAGAAAATGTTTCGGAATGCATTATTTTGCTGAAAAAAATCACCGTTCCAGTACAAAACAATTATAAAGGAATCTATTTTTTAAGAGTAATATTTTCATGTCGAAATAAATAATTGTCATATCGAAATAAATACTTTATTAAGTACTGATGTAAGCAAATGTTATATTTAAGATACATTTATTATAAGGAAGACATACAATTTGTTATAGTGTATATATACATTCGAATTATAACAAACAATGATACTAACCTCTCTTATAAATGTCTACTTACAATCCCTTCCAATTATGCGAATCAACAACAATATTATATATATACACTACACATATAGCTGTAAAATCTATACGCAAACAACAACTTGTCGAAGTGAGAACAATGGCAAATCCACCCTCTGTGGTGAAATTGGCCCTTGAATCGATCTGTTTGTTACTGGGCGAGAATGCAACCGATTGGAAGTCAATTCGCGCCGTTATTATGCGTGAAAATTTCATAAATTCAATTGTCTCTAACTTCAGTACTGAAATGATAACGTAAGCATGAAATGTATCTTCACATTGTTTTTTTATCTATACAATATTTTAAAACGTTTAAGGATTTCTTGTTGTTTTTTCTTTTTCAATTCGTCCTTCCTTTGTTATGTTTCTTTTGTTGTTATTGTTGTTGTTGATGTTAATGGGACATACAAAACAATGAATGATACTACGTTCATAGAATTTGAAGTATGGTATCATTTAAGTTGGTTGACGCAAACTTGCATTCCACGTAGTTCTATTCTTTTATTTTTTTATTATTTGTTTGTGCAAATTTTACGTTGGTTCCGTGGACAGTTCTCCATTGTGGTTTAACAATATTAAATTATTATTTGCATGTAGTTTTACTAATCTCCTACCAATTTTTTTTTTATTTTGGTTTCTGTTCATTATTACCCCGCTTTTTGTTTGTAATGTTTGATTGGCTTTGGGATATGAGCTTGTTTGCTTTTTGCATTTCATCACCTATGCATGTTTTTCATTTCATTTCATTTGAATTCAAAAAATCAGTAAAACTAAAAATGTTTTTTTTTTTGCTGTAACCCTTAGCGATGATGTGCGCGAGAAAATGAAATCGAAGTATTTAAGCAATCCCGATTACAACTTTGAAAAGGTCAATCGCGCTTCATTGGCTTGTGGTCCTATGGTTAAATGGGCCATTGCTCAGGTATGTTTCAGATCGTGACATAGCAGTAATAGAACTTACTGTGGAAGATGGAAGAATATATAACTGAAATGTCTTTAATTTCATAATAAATACAGATTGAATATGCCGATATGTTGAAACGTGTCGAACCACTGCGCGATGAATTGCGTTCACTCGAAGAACAGGCTGCCATCAACAAAGCCAATGCAGATGAAACCAAAGCTTTGGTTGAACAATTGGAGCAGAGTATTGCTGCATACAAGGAGGAATATGCCCAACTGATTTCTCAAGCTCAGGCCATTAAAACCGACTTGGAAAATGTCCAGGCCAAGGTCGATCGCTCCATTGCTTTGCTTAAGAGCTTGAATATTGAACGCGAACGTTGGGAGTGTACCAGTGAAACATTCAAATCTCAAATGTCGACCATTATTGGTGATGTGTTGTTATCGGCTGCTTTCATTGCTTATGGCGGTTACTTTGATCAACACTATCGTACAAATCTCTTTACCACATGGAGTCAACACTTGCAAGCAGCCAACATACAGTATCGTGGTGACATTGCTCGCACAGAATACTTGTCTAATCCTGACGAACGTTTGAGATGGCAAGCAAATGCTCTGCCCACTGATGACTTGTGCACTGAGAACGCCATCATGCTCAAGAGGTTCAATAGATATCCTTTGATTATCGATCCTTCGGGCCAGGCCACCACATTCTTACTCAACGAATATGCTGGCAAAAAGATCACCAAGACCAGTTTCTTGGACGACTCATTCCGCAAGAATTTGGAATCTGCTCTACGTTTCGGTAATCCACTGTTGGTGCAAGATGTCGAAAATTATGATCCTATTTTGAACCCGGTATTGAATCGTGAATTGAGACGTAGTGGCGGTCGTGTTTTGATTACCCTGGGTGATCAAGATATCGATTTGTCGCCATCGTTTGTCATATTCCTTTCAACCCGTGATCCAACTGTGGAATTCCCACCAGACATCTGCTCTCGTGTAACATTCGTCAATTTCACCGTTACAAGAAGTTCATTGCAATCACAATGTCTGAACCAAGTTCTGAAGGCCGAAAGACCCGATATCGATGAGAAACGTTCTGATTTGTTGAAACTTCAAGGCGAATTCCGTTTGCGTCTGCGCCAATTGGAAAAGAGTTTGCTGCAGGCATTGAACGATGCCAAGGGTAAGATTTTGGATGACGATTCCGTTATTGCCACTCTGGAAACTCTAAAGAAAGAGGCGTACGACATCAATCAAAAGGTGGACGAAACCGATAAGGTCATTGCCGAAATTGAAACCGTATCTCAACAGTACCTTCCCCTGTCTGTGGCTTGCAGTAACATTTACTTCACTATGGACAGTTTGAACCAAGTCCACTTCTTATACCAATATTCTTTGAAAATGTTTTTGGATATTTTCTCGACGGTCTTGTATAACAATAAGAAATTGGAAGGCAAAACGGATAACGCTGAGCGTTTGGGTATAATAACACGTGATCTCTTCCAAGTGTGCTATGATCGAGTTGCACGCGGTATGCTGCACAATGACCGCTTGACATTTGCCCTGCTAATGTGCAAGATTCATCTTAAGGGCACATCGGAAATGAACTTGGACTCGGAATTCAATTTCTTCCTGAGAAGCAAGGAAGGTTTAATGGCTAATCCAACTCCAGTCGAGGGCCTAACTGCTGAACAAATCGATGGCGTAAACCGTTTGGCTACACGTGTACCAATATTCCGCAAATTGGTTGAAAAACTTAGCAATATTCCTGAGTTGGGTGCTTGGTTGCAACAAAGTTCTCCTGAACAATGCGTTCCTCAGTTGTGGGATGAATCAAAGGCACTTAGTCCTATCGCAACGTCTGTACACCAGTTGTTGTTGATTCAAGCATTTAGGCCAGATCGCGTAATTGCTGCTGCCCATAATGTGGTTAATGCCGTTTTGGGTTCAGACTTCATGCAGACAGCTGAAGATGAGTTGGACTTTGCTGCTGTTGTGGATAAACAACTGAACTGCAATACCCCGGCTTTGTTGTGTTCTGTGCCTGGTTTCGATGCTTCTGGACGTGTTGATGACTTGGCCGCTGAATTAAATAAACAAATATCGAGCATTGCTATCGGTTCGGCTGAAGGTTTCAATCAGGCCGAATCGGCGATTAATATGGCTTGTAAGAGCGGCAAGTGGGTAATGTTGAAGAACGTCCACTTAGCTCCACAATGGTTGGTACAGTTGGAAAAGAAAATGCATTCATTGCAACCTCATTCTGGATTCCGTTTATTCTTAACCATGGAAATTAATCCTAAAGTACCGGTTAATCTTCTTAGAGCAGGCAGAATCTTTGTCTTCGAACCACCACCAGGCATTCGTGCCAATTTGTTGAGAACCTTCTCCACAGTGCCCGCAGCACGTATGATGAAAACACCTAGTGAGAGAGCACGCTTGTACTTCCTCTTGGCTTGGTTCCATGCCATTGTTCAAGAACGTTTGCGCTATGTGCCTTTGGGCTGGGCCAAGAAGTACGAGTTCAACGAGAGCGATTTGAGAGTGGCATGCGATACTTTGGATACTTGGATCGATAGCACAGCCATGGGTCGCACTAATTTGCCACCAGAAAAAATCCCTTGGGATGCTTTGGTTACACTGCTCTCTCAATCTATCTATGGCGGTAAAATCGATAATGACTTCGATCAGCGTTTGCTGCAGTCATTCTTGAAGAAGTTGTTCACAGCACGTTCGTTCGAAGCCGATTTCGCTTTAGTCGCCAATGTAGATGGCGCTTCCGGTGGTCAACGTCACATCACCATGCCCGATGGCACCCGCAGAGATCATTTCCTTAAATGGATTGAAAACCTTACTGACAGGCAAACACCATCCTGGTTGGGTCTACCTAATAACGCTGAAAAGGTTCTGCTCACCACTCGTGGTACTGATTTGATTAGCAAACTTTTGAAAATGCAACAATTGGAAGATGACGACGAACCGGCCTACACTATTGAGGAAACCAATGAGCAGGCAGCTGCTGCCGCTGCGGCCCAACGTGAAGATGGTAGACCTTCGTGGATGAAAATTCTTCACAAGTCAGCTACAGCTTGGTTGGACTTGTTGCCTAAAAATTTGCAAACTCTCAAGAGAACCGTGGAAAATATTAAAGATCCACTATACCGTTACTTTGAACGTGAAGTCACAATGGGAGCCAAGCTCCTGCAAACCGTCATATCTGATCTACAGGATGTGGTTTTGATTTGCCAAGGAGAAAAGAAACAGACCAATCATCATCGTTCCATGTTGTCGGAATTGGTAAAGGGTATTATTCCCAAGGGCTGGAAGCGGTACACTGTGCCAGCTGGCTGCACAGTCATCCAGTGGATTACCGATTTCAGCAATCGCATCCAACAATTGCAGAAGGTATCACAATTGGTATCCCAAGCAGGAGCAAAGGAATTGCAAGGATTCCCCGTGTGGTTGGGTGGATTATTGAATCCCGAAGCTTATATCACAGCCACCCGTCAATGCGTGGCTCAAGCTAACAGTTGGTCTTTGGAGGAACTCGCTCTGGAGGTGACCATTACCGAGGCAGGAGCAAACACGGAAACCAAGGACAGCAGTTTCGGTGTAACTGGCTTGAAATTACAAGGAGCACACTGCAAAAACAATGAATTGTTGTTAGCCACCACCATTATGATGGATTTGCCTTTGACTATCTTAAAATGGGTTAAGTAAGTATTTGTGCAATTTAACTGTTAGAAGATATTGATACTAAATATTTTATTGTGTTCTTTAACAGGGTTTCAAACGAACACCGTATCAGCAAATTAACATTGCCGGTGTATTTGAATTCTACACGTTCGGAGTTACTATTCACCATTGATATGGCTGTTGCTGCCGGACAAGATCCTCATAGTTTCTATGAGCGTGGTGTTGCGGTTTTGACTTCAACCGCTTTGAATTAAAAATATTGAAATCTAACAGTAAAAAGTATCAACAAAATTATATGTTATATCCAGAATATTTATATCTTACAAGCAAGTTTATTCAATTTACCCTAATAATGAAATGAACTAAGAAATAAAACAATTTAATTAAACACTAATACAATAAATATTATTCAACTAATAATAAAAGGTGTATTATTAATTATCTGTAATGCTTTAAAAAGGAGAAAATTGCTTTGGTTGATTAGCTTATTTTTTGTTAGATGAGGTTATAGGATGCTTAGCCATCAGTTATTTAGAAACTGATTTCACTCGGAGACCTTTGGTCTATTGAGCTCATCCTTAATAGCTGAAAAGGATGTGCTGGAAGATAGGAAAAATTAAAAAGGAAGGGAGTAGATAGAGGGGTTTGTTTTAGACAGACTTTTGACAAGGCAAAGTATTTTTTCGGATATAAATGTCTTTTGCTACTTGAAAAAATGTGATACTTAATTGTTTCCAGTTCTTCCTCGACCTCACAATTGGATGAGTATTTGTTGTAATATAAAGGATTTAATTGGACCTGCGCATAACCAACGAAAATGTTCAATATAATTCATGTCACTGTGTTAGTGTGTATTAAAAAGAATATTTTTTGTTATCCTTTCAAAACCATGTCCTTAACGGGTTCCATGGTGTAATGGTTAGCACTCTGGACTCTGAATCCAGCGATCCGAGTTCAAATCTCGGTGGGACCTAAAAACTTTATTTTTATTCGTTTATTTTGGGATTGGGCAATGTGTTGGACACTACAAACTTTAACTTCATAGAAAGCTGTAAATTCCTAGCCTCATCCTTGCCGTTTTTTATTTTTTATAATAACAATACATTATTATAGATGTCTGTAATAATTGGTGTTACTGTGAACTCTCGATAATGTGAAGACTGAAACTGACATTAAAGTATTGAAAAAATTAGGGAATTAGCGTTATAAATAAGCTGGTAGAATCGAAAATGTGAACAAATTCGAAAATATGAACTATCCCGATATTAATTAGTTCACATTATCGAGATGTCATTGTTTTGGGTGTGCACATTATGTAGAGTTCGCTGTATAGAGTTCCTGTAAGATGTAAAAATTAAAATATATTTAATTTATTTTAAATACAATTTAAAATTATGTTTTTTAGAACATAATACTTAACTAATAATTTATAAAGAGGGCTTTGATATCAGATTTTCTCCGTCATTCTCAAACCTTTATCCATTTCCGAGAAACGAACTTTAATTGTGAGTATTTAGTTCTCGATATTACCTTACGGATGATAGTACTCACGGTTATTCGGAATTTCTGATCAAACTCCCGATTGTTTTAGAATTTCGGATCAAACATCCGATAAATTTCCGATCTAATATACTATTTTTTACAATTACTGAAAATTATCCCAAATTTTTTCCTATTTTCTGTATATTGTTCAAAATAATGAAAGTTCCTGCAAATGTATCATTTTTACCCGAATGTTTCTTCCGAGTTTTTTCTCCGTGTTTTAACATAGTCCCCCATATAAAACCCTGCCCGTTTTTTCCAAGCATTTTCACTATACATATGTCCGACATATCCCCAATATAAATGCCCAGTCTTATTTTACTATATATTTTGTGTTAGGTTCATTTAATGACAAACACCCCGTATAATCGGACTACCATATGTTATAAAAACATGAATTTAACGCAATAGCCATCACCTGGTTCTATGGTGTAATGGTTAGCACTCTGGACTTTGAATCCAGCGATCCGAGTTCAAATCTCGGTAGAACCTATTTTGTGAGTTATTATTTCATAATTATTATAATATTATCAGCTATGTTATTACATTTTAAAATTTATTAAATATATATTATAGTAATTATTCAAAATATATACACTATGACACATATATAAATTTGTGTAAGAGATAGGTAATTTTTTTGATATCAGTTGTGATTAAATATTATTGCAAAATTTTCTTAAATACATTTCTTTAAATTAAAATAAATGGCATATTTGATTTGTGATTCATTAAAACGTCACAGATATTTTAAGAAAAAAATTGCGAAAATTATTTCAAAACATAGAAGTATATTTTAGGGGTGTTTTTAATTTGCAAACATGTATATATGCCATCAGTAAAATCCACATTGTGTGGATGATGTAGATTGTAGTGGGTCACATGCGCATTAGCTCATGGCTTTGTTTATGACAATATTTAAACAGACCACCTGGCAAGAGGTTCCATGGTGTAATGGTTAGCACTCTGGACTCTGAATCCAGCGATCCGAGTTCAAATCTCGGTGGAACCTGAAGGTTTCTTTTTTACCATCGCTTTTTTTTAATTGTTTTAATTTATTGTCGAAAATTTTTCTTACATTATATTAAGAGATTTGTTATATGTTATTGTCATAGAATTTATATTGTAAAATGCGGAGTAAAATATGTATTTGCATTTTTGTAATTCATGGCAAATAAATAAAGAATTCTATGAACTACATCTACATTTTCAGATACAATTCATCTCTAAGTCATCTCAATTAATTTGAGTTTCGAAATATTGCAGTTGTAATTCGCAGATTCCATTTACAATTTAGTATATTTCATTAGTAATTCGAAAGATTTTAAATCCGAAGTATTCAATTTTTTAACTCAAATGATCGCAATATAAACAAAATGGAAAATTTCAATTTCCAATTGAAATAATTTGAATTCGGAATGGAATTATTTAATTTACTAATGGATAACTTTTTTTTTAGATGCTACACGAAACATTCCAGTTATAAATGTAAATATTTGAAGCGGATCAATTATAGTTTTATTCATATTTTATTTGCTATAGTATAAACACATACGTTTTATTAATCATTTGAATACAACTCTAATTTAAATATTTGAAATTAACGGTTAACCATGTAAATATTTTGTATATAGTACCAACACCTACATCACTGACCTTACTACCTTTTTATACAACCAATCCTAGATAAGAATCTTGCTTCTCATAAGTAGTACCTAAGCTCAATCTAATTTCAATAAAATCAGCTACACTCCGAGTCCTGGACCACCCGGCTCTAATTCGTTTATGCGAACATTGAAGGCTTAAGATCATTACCCACGCTTGCCCAAGTCGATGGACTCAGATCATAAGCTGGAGGTAGTTCCTAAACAAGGAGTAGCCAACATTATTGTAAATCTTGTTGTTTTGAGTTTCTTCACTGGTGCTCAAAGTGAGGCCTGCTTCATCGACACCCAAGGCCGAGTTTCTTCAGATTTCATTTAATTTAAATATTTGGGTATAAATTCGTAAATACGGTTCTATTTGTAATTCATGTTTTTAAGTGTAATTCGAATGGTTTCAATAGAAATAAAAGAGAAAGAAAGGAAATTATTTAAAAACCAGTGAGCAGAGTAGTATAGGCGACCATATGATACCCTATACACCCGCCATTGAAGTCTAGGTTTGTGCGAACTATATTCCGACCCAGGGCAACGTTTCGCAACATTTACTCTCTCTTGACCTATTATAGGCCAACAGCTCCGCTTTCTAACCCTGCAATATTTTGCAAATCTTGTTTTCCTGAGGTAAATATTTACAGTGTCGAACAAAACATATTGAACTGAAATTATATTTTTAATATTTTGCACTTTGCAAATCAGCTGGGATTTGCTGTCAACTTTTATAATTGTACCATGATATGTTTATGAAGTTTAATGAAAATTTAAATTCAGCCCAATATGTTTTGTCCGTTACTGTATGTCATAAAATAAAAGTTTGTTCACTTTAGGTTTTCTTTTATTTGAACGTCGGAATATCTAAAAAGCCGTTTTAAGTATTTAGTCAAATCCCCTTCACCGTGTAAAATATGTGCTGTTCTGCATATAATAATGGCCTAGAGAGCGACTAGAAAATTTGACAGAAATAAACTTTTCAATTCATGACACCTCCTAAAATCCTGCAAGGAATCGAATGTATGTGTTACGATTAGAAGTTGTTAAGAAATTTCATGCAAAATAACAATTTTTAATTAATGTGATTTTTTTATATTTCAATCTATTATACATTGCATATTATTTCATATCCCCAAAAAATTAAAATATTCAGTTATTGCATTCATTGAAAAAAATAATAATTAATATTTGATAACAAAACAGTAACATGAAAATTCTTACTGAATAAATTTTTGCCAGTAAGAATTTTTCAATACTCAGTAAACAACTGCCAAAATTTCTCTCTCAACTTCCTCTCATTTACTGAACCTTAAAGTTATCGAAAAAGGTTTATTCATAAGTTTAACAGACAGGCAGGCGAATTCGAAGTCTTCATTGACTGTCAAATTTATTGTTTGAAGAATAAATAACAAAAAATATTTTTATTTGAACCAAAATATATGTGCACATTACTATCATTACGTTTTCCTGAAATATATTTTAAGTTTTTATCCAGTTCTGGTTGGTATTTCGCGATTAAAATGTTGACAACAAGAGAAGACTAAGGCATGAATTCGCCTGCCTGTTAACCTTATGAATAAACCTTGTTATCGAACAACATTTAGTAACAATTTGTACAAATTGTTATAAATTATTGGGATATGAAACAAACCTAATATGAAATAGTTAGAATAAAATAAGAAATAATTTTGATTTATAATCGAAATTAAAAATGAAACAAGACCCGACACCAGAAAAGTGTTTAAAATCTGCTCATATAAAATGTGAAATATGGGGCATAATAAAATATAGATGCCTGTTGATAACTATGATTATTGAAAATTTGGGCTATTTTTACATTTATTGTAATATTTAAAAAATCTAAAAAAAGGTAAATTCTAACTCAGGTTCCACCGAGATTTGAACTCGGATCGCTGGATTCAGAGTCCAGAGTGCTAACCATTACACCATGGAACCCCCTCGCTAGCTACTGACAATATTTAGATTCATAACCATGACCTTGAGAATAATTCTGTTACTGTAAGTGGGTAGTGTTTTGCAAAAATACACATACACACATACAAACTATTAGCTGTGCGAAAATGTTCCTTAGTAAATTCCACAATCAAATAATCGAAATACCACAATATACAGTACTGGCAAAAATATTAGATACATTGTAAATTGTTTGAATTTAACTTTATCATATTCTTGTAGTCTATCTACAATCCACTGTAAAGATAAATATGGTCGCAAATGTTGATAAATATTTGGTCATTGTCTGTATAAACTCAGTCTTAATCGAAATATCTTACTAAACCTAGATTATGTAGGTCAGGTACTTCAACCACAAAGAATAAATATTTTTTAAACTTGTACATTTTATATTTCTCTTCGTATAAAATGTTTTGTTTGAGTTTCGTTTTGGTCTAAACTTTGCACATCGTAATATTTTTTATCAGGTTTAAACCGATATGTTTTTAAACTTTGTAAATTTTGTATAAATATAATTGTATATTCTTTTTGGTCTACCCGTAAATATTATACTGAGCACATTTTTAGTGTAATATGGTTGTTCGGAAAATTTTTACAACGACAACAAACGAATAAAGTTCAGAGTTCAAATATATCGTATATAATATTAATAAATATATATGGAAAAACTCTTCCTTATGAATTTAAAGCCATACAATTAGTCCCTTTGTCGTTTCACATATGTATGTTCCTATCTTGCTTTTCAACCACGTCTGCCACAAACTATTTCATTTTATATAAGGATATAATTTATTTCCTTGTATGACAACAAAATGGGAAATATTTACATGGATATCCTGGATTTTACAAGGGTAATTTTTTGTTTAAAAATCCTTATAACGAATATCTCTTCGTTTTAGATTTGTCCTTGGCATGTTTCTCAACCACATCAGAAGGTTATTTTTATCCTTTTTCGAACATAGGGGTTGTTTTTTGCTGTGGGGATATTTATTTAAAAAATCCTTGAATATCCTTAAAAATGCATTCACAATAACATAAATTATACAAGGGTGCTATAAAAATAGTTTGCTATAAAATCACAGAGATATGGTGAATTTTTTATGTTTGAAACATATAAAAGGAAGCGAGATAGACCCAAGGTTACAAATATGCATAGAATTACTTTCTGTGTCGATTTATGTCTCCCATATAAAATCCGATTTTACAATAATGTACCAAAGTCCCAATTTACAATTAAAACGAAAATTTGCATAACGTACCGTATTGAGTCCAAAACAAGTTAAAACCAGTCCTTTATGGATAAATATATAATATAAAATTTTTGTCATTTTTCATATAAAAGTCAGGGTCCAGATACCCTTCACCGTGGGTTGTGTTGTGATGTCCGGCTTTCAATTATGGCCTAGGTCTACTCGACTCCAAAAAAATACAAAACAATTAAGTTATCGGTCCATTTAATTTTAATATTATTACCGTCTCTATGTAAAAATTCGCGATGTTTGGGTCATGATTGCGTGCTCTGGAGCAACCAGAAAATCAGAAAAAATAAAGTTTTTGGTCAATTTTATTCCCTACATATTACTAAAAATCATAGGGGTCTTCATTGCCCAGAAACCATCCTACATGCAAAATTTCGTGAAGATTGGTCCATAACTGTGGCCTGTATCGTGTTTACAGATTATCAGCTAGTCGAGATATGACCATCGGTCTAGGACCAATATTTCGTGGCTATAAACTTGGTTCAATATCAATCACCCTTATTCCGTCGTCGTCCGTCTGTCGTCGTCGACACAAAACGACGTCGAAGAGAGTCGTCTTTTGAAAATTGGTATTTCCTATGTCGTTGTCGACATTTATCGTTAACTATTGAAACATTTTTGGTATTCCGTAACAATGTGTGACGACGACGCACTATGTCGCGAGTTCATATAAACAGCGGCCAAAAATAGAAGGAGTTATCGCAAGTTAATGAAATTTGGTACATGTGCTTATTATTGGCCTAAAGAGCAACTGACAAAAAATTTAATAGATAGGACCAAGATTTGGTATACCTCCCATATAATGGGTCTTGAGAATGTCACCCTTTTTGGCCTATAAAATCTTTAATATTCAACCAAATTCAATGGAAATTGACAATTTACATTTACATAGGCCTATAAAGCAACTAACCAAAAACTGGAAAAATCGGACCAAGATTTGATATACCTCCCATACAAAGGGTCTAGAAAAATCCGATTTTTGGACCTATAAAATTGTTTTTATTAATACAAATTCCATAAAAATGTTCATGTCTTCGTCCAAACTACCTACCATACCAAAAGTCCCTAAAAAATAACTTTCCGTACTATAAATATATATATATATATATATTTATAGTACGTATATATATATATATATATATATGTACTATATATATATATGGACATTATGGCTGTTTAAGGATATTACAAGGTCGGATTGTAATATAAAATACTAAATAAAATCCTTATTTGACTCGGCTTTAACAAAAGTTCGGGCTGCTACTAAATATTTTGTGGCATGACTTGTTAGCATCTTGTGAAAGTCGCTCAAAAGGTATTGTACTGCACTTTGCATATCCCATACCAAGAAATAATATTTTTGTTATGAACTTTCCACAAAGGTAATTCATGTGCGACCTCTAAATTTAGATTATAAGATTATGTCTCAAATAATCTGATAAATAAGTATAATCTTCAAATTGACTGAGAATTTATTTAAAAGCTATATTTTAAAACCAATTCTCCCATATCTCCGCATCGAATAACGTTTTTACCACGTAATCGAACATTTTATGCAAAATATTGTATGATTACTATGATCTGAATCCATCGTGTCCTTCCTATTTGGTCCTCAATAACTTATTTAATTGTATACATAACATATTGGACCATTCGCTTCTAACCATTTTATGAATATCCCATATTTTTTTTTAAAAGGTGGTCACCAAAGAGAACCCATAATACAAAATTACAGTCAATTCGGTTCAAAACAGTTTTAAAAATCTTACCGTCAATATTAGTAATCTTACTTACTAATATTGGCGGTTTCGTTATATGGAGGATGTACCAAAACGTGAATCGATATATCCCATTTGCAATACCAAAAATCCTAGGATAACTACCAACGTCTGTGCAAAATTTCATAGCTCTATCTTAAATCATGCAATCTCTATCGTTTCTCCGGTGAATATTTCGAAGTGTTGACAACGGAATGACAAATTTGATATACGCTTCACCTTTTGGAGCAATATCTAATATCTAAATCTGAACTGATTTCAAAAAACCTTACCATACTCGGTTCATACGTCATTCTAGACACAAGGCAATACGCTATAGAAAAGTTCGTCTCAATCGGACAAGCATAGGGACTTTGGTGCACTATGGTAAGAACGGAGGAAAGTATACATATGTAAATCGGCAACAATTTTCATCCAATTTACAAATCGGTTTTAGGACAATATGTATACAAGTATACTACTATTCCTTTTTATCTTCCTGCTCCTCGAAATAAGAAAATTTGATCTGAAGCAAATATTTTTTAATGCAATTAAAACAAAAACTGAATGACAAATTTGAATATTTCGTCAATAACTACAAACTATTAACAACCACAAATATAAATATACAACAAATACTGTTTCCGCTTCGATATCCTACAATGAGGATTGTGCAAAAGCGATTAAATCCACGGTTCTGGCTCTTTCCGGCATCGTACGATGCATTTCGTACAGACTTTTCCATACTTTAAGTTTTTCCATTTCCGGCAAATCGATGAATGTTAAGTCGTCGTCGATATTTAAACATTTGTACGCGTCCTCGTTGTTGTGTCGGTGGTGTAGTGAACGCCATTTGTTATCTGGCATTTTAGCACTGTTTGGATTTCCTGTCTCAGCAAATTGTGTCCACAGTGAAATCATGCGTTTCAAACAGGCATATTCACGACTCTGGCGATCCATGGGCGCTGCCAGAACACTGCTAAACAAAAACGCCAGTTCGTCGGTGTGTGCCACACCACTGGTTTCGTTTTGTTCCCCAGCCTGGGTGTCGGCACCCATGTCTGGGTTGCGCATTAAACGAAAAGGAGTTATAAGTTTATCTGATTGGAAATCGAAACGATACAAGAACGTTGGAGTTTTGCGTGCATATTTTAAACGTGCCTCGATGACTTTCTGTATGGGATGCCAATAATACGAGAATGTAATGATCTGTAAAGAAAGTTAAAGTGGTCACAATTGGCGGCCAATGGAGCATGATGATGGCATGCAGCACAAAAGGAGACAACACAACAGGGATGTGGTTTCAAATGACACCAACCTCATAAAAGTCATTCAGCGTTGGCTGTTGACCTTTAATGTGAATTTTACGCAACTTCAAGCCTTTGTCAATGCATTCGGGACTTTCACGTCGTACAGCCGCTGCTTTGGGTACATACTGGGCACAGGTTTCCAAAATATGCAATATTGCCGCTTTGTTCTTGAGGGCAGCTAAAAGAAAAGAAAACGAAAAAGAATTCATTAACAAATTCCTCTTTTGTATTTCCACTTAGTAACTTACTCCTCTTAAAGAATAGTCCCTCCAGAGAATTGGCTCCCAAAATCAATGGTATGCTATTACCCCAGGCATGGGCCATTAACTCTTCCACTGGTTTGCAAATTACTGTATGGGCTGTAAAGTACGGTTCAATGCACGGTGCAAACCCAAATAATTCTCGATCATTACGCTGCAGACATTTTGCCTCTGCTTTGAGTATTTCATCGGCTGGTAGTTTTAGTAAATATTTCAAAATATGCCGTTCCTTATATTCGCCATCATAACCGGCATTTTTGGCCAGGGCATATGCTCGTTCCCTGCAATCTGTAATGGCCCAATCACTAACAGCAGTTCCCGATTGCAGTATGGCACGATGGAACAGACCCCTGGCATGTTCGCAAAGCATTAAATAATGAACCGCTGCTGCTCCGGCACTTTCACCAAATACCGTAACACAGTCGGGATTACCACCAAAGCTTGTGGCGTTTCGTTTTACCCATTTCAAAGCGAGAATAATATCTTTTAGGCCTGCATTGCCGGGGGTGTGTAAACCGGGATCATTAAGGCTAAGGAATCCTTTAATGAAGCAAAAATAATAATTAATATGTTGTTGCTGGTATCGGAATCCTGAAGTCATTCTTGTTTGTTACATATCAAAATGTTTCTCAAATATATCATAAATTATATTTATTTCTGAACAATATAAATTCCGCTACAGTTCACGATTTGGTGTAGATCCCTTATTACGATACCCGCCAATTTGCGCTATTTTGTAGATTTTAGGCGCATTATCTAACCGAAAGGAGAGCTAATTTTAGGCATACCAGGTTTTTGGAGGCTGGCAGGAAATTGTCAATGCAGGTTCATGTTTTGACATAGCCCACATATAAAGGTTCTTCCAATTTTCGGATTTCATACATCATCACAGAAAATTATCATTACAGGTATAAGTTTTGACATAGCCCCTATGTCAAATACCGTTCCGTCGTATTTTCGGTATTATGAAGATTTTAGTCGGATTTTTCCAACAGCAGAGTATTTTGTTTTAATAGGGGTAATACTCGCTATATATAGGTCCATAGTTTGACATTTCCACGGAAGTGACTAAATTTTGGCATTCCAAGTTAACGGAGGGTGTAAAAACAATTAAACCTGACTAAAGGTTTCTTAGGCCTTGACGGAGATTGTACGTGAGAATTTTTCAACCTACAACCCCCCCCCACACCATTACTTACCTAATGCTCCCATACGATATTGCACGGTGATCAGCACCACATCTTGCATCATGAAATAATCCGGGCCATATTGTTCACAATTTGCCTCGCCAAATTGAAAGCCTCCGCCATGAATCCAAAACATTATGGGACGAGGTTTAATCGGTTTTATCTAAAGAACAATGCAAAGCAGTATAAAACTATGAAACTTAATGACGTAGCTATGGATATATGATCATGGGAACACGTACATTATTTGTATAGACATTGACGAAAAGACAATCTTCAGATCCCTCAATTGACATTGGATCCATGGGATTTCGTTGCATGGCCTTTGGACCATGCCAAGTGCAATCCTTTACATGTTTCCATGCTGTCATCGGTTTTGGAGCCCGAAAACGTAATTCACCCAATGGTGGCAAAGCATACGGTATACGTTCAAAACTGTAGTAGACCTTATTGTAGATGGTCAGCCGTTTAGAGCCACGAATTTTACCGGTATGGATTTTAATCGAAACATCCTCATCGGTGAGACGTTTTTGCCATTGTTCGATTCTAAATTCCAAAGTTCTAAAGGGGAAAGAAAAAAAATAAATGTCGGTATTTTAAAACTACAATTACCCCGAGATTTCAGATAATCGCTTTGTTTAACTGATAAGAATAGTGTGTTCTTTAAGTGCATACAAAAATGGTGAGAAATGTTTTAAAGTGTGTTATGTGTTCATTACATTTTATTGTTTATAATAATAAGGAAAAAATAAACATCACACTTCTCATTATTACCTTATTTTTAAATATTGTTTTTGTTGCTCCGATAAGGCGTAATCCATGTTTATATTATTTAAAAAAAAAATACTTATTGTTTTATTCTTTTGATATGTTCTCTCTAGTTATGTTTCAAGTTCAACGTTCAATACAGTACTGAAAAATTCGAATGGTCGACGAAATACTTTCTAGCTGTGTTAAGCTTATCAGTACTTTCAAACATAAAAAATAATTAATTGAAAATGATATGTCACGAATTCTTATCTATCGTTCTATATTTACACCCCCAGCGAGTTAAGTCAGCTGTTTAGGTAGGTAATATAAAATTTAAATAATATGTATATTAGTATGATAATATTTAAAATCGCAACTCAAAATATACAGTATATACAAAATATGCATTCGTGCAGCCATAATAAACTTAAAAGTATTTTATACGAGGGCAGTTCGGAAACTTCTTAGACTAGCACAAAAAGCGCGGTATAAATAGAAAAAAAGTAGAGTAACTTCGGGTAATGTGGACTAGGCGTCTAATGTGGACCACCCCCATATCTAAGAAAATGTTTGAAATCGAATATAAAGAAATTATTTGGTTTCTTGTTTTCTATACAAAAATATATGTCTAGCTGTAATAACAATCGGTGATTTTTAATTTTTATTTATTTTTGAAGCCGATAATTATTTTTAAACAAAAATCTTCAATGTCAATAAAAAGTGGGACCTTTTCATGAGGACGAGTTCGAAATATGGGCGCATTTAATATCCTCTGAAAACTCGATATGCGAAATTACTGGTGCTTCGGTTGGATAATGAAGCAAGGACCTTCAAAATACCACAAATGAGGCGGTACCCTTAAATGGGGGCTATTCCAAAACATGAACCCATATATTTTTGCATTCATTGTTACCCAAGTGTGAAATAAATTGAAATTTATCACAACCAATCCACAACCTACCTTTAACTTATTGATCGTCATTACCCACACATACTGGTCCACATTACCCGCCAAGTTATTTTCATATGCAGTTTAGAGTTTTTTGAAATATAATGTTTGACCTACAATATATTTAGTCAACAAATCAACTATGTTGTGAAAATAATTTGTTTTTATTTTTTAACGTTGTCACGCCCACAATATGAAAAAAAAAGAAAACTGGTGGTCCACTTTACCCGAAGTTACTCTGAATGATTTCGAAACTTCCATCTCGGAAAAATCGGACAAAACTATATATGGTAGTTATATCAAAATCGGAACCGATTTTCACGAAACCAAACACACATCATTCTAGAGGCTCAATTCAGTATGCTATGCCACATTTCGTGCAAATCGGAAGATATATAGGGACTTTGGTGTACCATTTACATAAAATCGGACGGAACTATATATGGGAGCTATATCTAAATCTGAACCGATTTTCATGAACCTTAGCACACATCACTCTAGACTTACTTTACAATTTAACTTTCTTTACAATTCAACAGCGACAGAGAAGTGATTCTATGCATATTCTCATATTCCTTTTGCCTGTTACAAACATATGCACAAAGACATAATACCCTGTACCACAGTGTGGTGAAGGGTATAAAGATTGGGTTGGTGAATTTAAACGTGGTCGTACTAGCAAAAACAGCAACAACAACAGAAATTGTAGCCAAAGTGCATGATATGGTATTAAATGATCGACGAATAAAAGTGCTTGAAATTGCGAATATAGCATTTCCAGATTAAATTAAACCTTTTACAAATTAAATGAAACTTTTTTCAAATTAAACGAAACCTTTTCCAATTAGAATGAAACCTTTTGCAATTGGAATGAAACACTTTCCAAATTATATGATATGTCCCATGGTATAATAATAGAAGGTAACAGCAAGTGTTGTTGTACAAAAAACGATACAACAACCACATGGAAATTTGTTTTTGTAAGTTCTACTAGTGTCAACTCATTTGACAGAAAAATGTAAACAAATAAACAAATTATCATCAAATTATTTTTATTTTGAAAATGAAATATTTTCGAATCCTCAAAATAAAAATTGAAAAACATGAATGAAAATCTATCAAATTTATATTTCTATCGCTTTCACATCTTTCCTATAATTGAGCCATTGCCATATATATGTGTAACACATATGAAAATGCTGGGAATAGCGTGTTATTCCTTGAATAAAGATTTGCTTCCTCAAACTTTCCCAGCAGGCAGATTGAGTAAATTGAATACAGGAGCACATTTAATAAAGAACAATTTCAAATTGTATGCGTTCCCAATTTTCCTGTTGGCCGATTTTTAAAAACATAATTTGTCAAATTCATATTGACACTAGTATTACGTTGGAATCAAATCAGCTGGGACTTGCTGTTACCTTTTATAATTGTACCATGGATATGTCCAAGGAAATGTAATATTTCCAGTAATGTTCTATCCAAGGTGTATTTAATAAGGTGTAAGTGACAATCATATGGTTTCAAACTTTTTTCTTTATTGTTTGTAAAGTAAATTGTCAAAAACATTTTCATTTCATTCGATTTCAAAAATGGTCTTTAAATTGAGGCTTTTTCAATTATAAAAATTCAAGAAAATTACATTCATAGAGGTGTACGGAAAGGAAACCTAGACACAGTTATAACCCCGTTTACCGATTGGTCCACATATTTTAAAATTGGTCCCCATATCATCGAGGAGATTATGTTAACCTATAATGGAATCGGTCCCTTGGTGCTTGTCACAATTCTCGACGGAGGTTAAATACGCCTATGGAAAGTTGTTATACGGTCAACACAATTTCCATGATTTAGTCTTTGGCCGGGGATTTATGTCCTTAAATTTTCTTTAATATGGCAAGATTTGAAGCCATAGAAAAAATAGAACCACAATATAAACAACATCACAAGGAGCCATGGGCTACACGTGGGAAACTTCAAATTAATCGCGACCAGGTCTTAAAATTTATTTTTCACTGACCTAAAACAGCTTATAATCCAAGAATACACAAATTCCTTAATTATTCCTCAAAGAATAGTTCTTGACAAAAATAAATTAATAATTGTTTTTGTTTATTTTTGTCAAAACCTTATTGTAAGCATGACAATTTAATTTCTATAACAACAATGTTGGTTTTGTAAAATATTTGTTGTCGTATCTGATGCATACGACTTTGTTCTATCAATATTTGAAAATTAAATCAAAGAATATTAACAAATATACATAGTTGTATGGCTATGTAATTGTGATTGATTTTTTTTTTGTAATTAACATACATATTCTTTAATTCAGTGTAATTTTGTTTAATATCTTTACTACATAAAACTAAATGAATGTAATACAAACTGGGATATTTCTTGACATTTTAATAAATAAACACTTCAGAACAAGAATTGAATACCTGGTCCTAAATGCGAATCTAAAAGTAAAACAAGAAAATAATTAGTAAACAAAGAATAAATTAAAACAAGAAAATCACCAAATAACCAAAAAATCAAAACAAAAAAGTAGGGTGTAGGGTTACCCCAAATATCATATTGGAATTTTGGGACCAAATGGTAATATCCCCAGTAACCAACTAAGAGAGCTCTTTTAGGTGAGGTAATAAGATAATAGAGTGGCCAGAAGGTGACGATTCAATAGATTGTGTGGGTAGTCTGAAGCATTGAATTATCGATAGCTTTAAGTGTTAGAAATTTAGAATATTGACTTCGTTGTTCAGGTTAGGTTTAAGTAATCAAAAATAATGATATCAATAAATGTTCTTTATGTATAAATGTTTAGATTAATATGGTGTGCTAATCGTTTTTCTGTAAGGGAGGAAGATAGGACGATGTTGCGGTGAGGTGAGTGTGTGTGGGAATGGGGGCCCTTTAAAATTAAGTGTTTATGAGGATAAAAAGGGTCAAGTTTGGGCGGGTGAAGTGCGGGAATAATTGACACTAAATTCCCTCGTTATGTTCGTATGTGTGTTGTCGTTTTTGTTTTTTTTGTTCTATTTCCGTTTTTCTTTTTTGATTGTTCGACCCCTAGGGCTGATGGTGGTAGGGTTGAGAATTCACTCCTAAAGCGGTGCCCCGACTGAGCTGGTTGGAACCCCACCAGGAGCCGCAACAGGCGGTACGCAACACTTAATGAAGGGCTTTCCGACTTGTAGCTTGTGGGATTTTCAAAACCATGTCCATAACGTAGTTAGAACAATCTTGCGGAGTAAGCTGTTGAATACTTCGCTCGATTACATCAACAATGTTATGTTTCATTGAAACGTCACACAGCTCAGCTCTTGCACATAATTTTATTTTTGAAAATGCATTTTCGATTGGATTTAGCAAATATTGATTTAAAATTACTGGAAATATTATATTTCTTTGGACAAAAAAAAAATAGGTTTCATCTAATTTGGAAAATGTTTCATTCCAATTGCAAAAGGTTTCATTCCATTTGTAAAAAGTTTCATTCTATTTGCAAAACGATTAATTTAAATTGGAAAAGGTTTTATTTAATTTGCAAAAGGTTTCATTTAATTTAGAAAAGGTTTCGTTTAATTTGGAAAAAGTTTCATTTAATTTGTAAAAGGTTTCATTTAATCTGGAAATGCTATATCATGGACATCTCAAATGATCGAGTCCATTTAATGAAGAACTACAGATGAAAAAGCTTTCTGCAAGATGGGTGTCGCATTTGTTAACATTCGATCAAAAACG